AGTTCACTACTGACCGTTATTTTTTCTTTTTTTTCAAGCAGATTCAAATTTCAGTCGAAATTTAATCGAAGGTTATCTTACATCGTAGACAGTAGAGAATACACATTGAAGTCGTTCGTGCGTTAAACAAACAAATATTACTTCTTACATGCAGTTACTATTGTCGGTAAAGAGGAAAAACTATCACTGAATATAATGCCATTTAAAATCAACTCCTCTATAAAAATCTTCTGTGTAATGTCACTTCTGTACTCTTTTTTCCCGTCTCTGGTGTATACAAATCATATCCAAAACAATTTATTAAATCTATGTGCACCAGTTACGCGTTTGACGACGACATTTTTATCAAACTCAATTCCAACAACATTTTGAAAATCATGACACCAGTCGTCTGATTCCAATGCTATTTATATGAACATATAACATGTTATTCAAATATCGATTATTGTATGTTTCACTTATACAAATTTTAGTTCAGTTTCTTAAATAGTACCAGATAAATAAAAGCAAATGAAATAGTTATATGCGTAAATTATTCCGAATTTTGTTCGTGCGCCGACAGACCATATCAGCCTTCATATTAATCGTCCCAATATTATTGATATGATGAACGATTATATAAAATTATCTAAGAATTTTATTATTTCAAAGTACATTGAATATATATTATCTCTATGCAAAATTTGGATAGTAATGTTTGCATGTTTAAAAAGTTAAACGATGTCTACGACTCTTTTGGACAACCCTCGTACATCAAAAGAAAGAGTGAACTCCCCAAATGGAATAAGAATCAAATGCATAATCTATAAATTACAGCTATTAGGATTTTGGACAGCAACAAACTTGACTTGAATGAATTCATCTTTTGATATCTATATAAAAAATGCGTGTATATTTAATAAACTCACAGCTACAATGTAATCATTTTATAGAATTACATGCCTTCTAATTTGCTTTCCGAGATATATTTCAAAGCTAGTGATTTTTATTGCTACCACTTTTTTTCAGATTGAACTAAGTATTAATTTATGTGGTAATTTATTTAGTTTAACATGTTAAAGAAAGTGACACTTTCTTAAGAGAGACCATCAGGAAAAATGAACAAGGTGTGTAACCAATGTTAATCCCGTTAGTGTTATTCAAACAAGTTCCAAGTTATTCCTACGCCTAGATATATTTACAGAGAAAGAGGTGCCGGCAAAACTAAAAAAAACATCAAAAACAAGAAAAGTGAAGGTGCACATGACTAAAGACCTTGATTATTATTTATGGAAAAAATGTAAATAGCAACATAAGTAAAATATAAATATAACAGTAAACTATGGTTAGGCCATCTTTAAAACAAAGTTTGTTTGTTCTCTCCCGACTGACTCAGATTAAAGCCAGTCCAACACAAAAGCTTTTTTGATCTCCGGGAATCAATTATTTTTTTTCCCTTCATTTTTCGTCTATTTATATCTTTTAATTTCATTTTCTCAAGCGCTATTTATCAAACCAAATTCTACCTACCTGTCAGCATATTGTATTGTATTGTAATAAATTTTGGATACTAGTATTTAAAATCAACTTTAAAATATGTTTGAGCGTTTTGGACCCACATCAGCTCTAGAAACATTTTCGTTTTTACTTTTTTAACTTCAACATACATTTAAAACAGAATGAATAAGCATAAGTTAGAATAAAAAAAACTTTTTTTTTTAGAAAATGTATGCATTGGAAAGGAAACGTTAAAATATTTTTGTGAGTTCCACCATTTTTCTAAACATAGTGTATAATTTTGGGAATACCATGACATACAGTGTCAAGTTCCTTTCCAAAACTAATAATTTTGTATATCGCAGGACGAAAATGAAAACAGGAATAGATGATGAAAATAACACAAGGATGCAAGATATGTTTTCCTTTTTCTTTGAAGGTCAACATCCATAATTATAATGTCACATTGTCATTTCAAATTTAATTCTGAGCTGATGTTGATGTTTAAAAAAATAAAATGAAACACTGTATGAGAAAAAAATACTTTTCACATCTGCTGTAAAAGCAGAAATATTGGTAGGGGTAAAATGGCAAAATTCCATTGTTAAAAGTTATCAACGAAATTTAATCCCACACTAAATTTCTATATGGATATTTTTCGAATAGGATTACTTTAAAAACAACGAGATGAAATAACCGCAGAACTATTTTTGATGACAAATCAACGAAATTTTAGCCTCGCAAAAAATCTGTGTTTCTACAGTATTATAGTATATTATTGTATCCTTTTTTCGTACATTTTTTTTTCATTGGAGAAAGACTATGTAAATCACAGTGTTGTATAGCTTCATATATCTTGTTTCAAGGTACTTTATAAGTAAATTCTATTATTTCTGAAGAAACTGAAAACTTATTCTAAGAGTGAATCTTTTTTCATAGATGATGTCTGATAAATCAATTAAATTTGGAGGGTGAATGTTTAATAATAATGTACGAGGGTTTTTTTTTTAAAAAAAGAGTTCGTGGACTGCTGTCATATCTTTTTTTTTTTTATTTGACCTCATATTTTATCTTAATTTGGTAGAAATATTTTATTAATGAATACAAATGATTTCTATAAATTTTTTGTTAAAAATCACGACTTTTTAAAAACTCATATAAATTTAAAACGTGCAAAAAATGGGTCGCGGGGCAGGTCAAAATGTAGAAAGTTTCAAACAATACCCTAAATAATGCCTTTGGTCATGTTTTCTGTAAAATGGAGCATAAACGAAAAAAAAAACCTAAAACTTTAAATTAATAATTGATACATTGATTCGTATTCCACATTATGCCTTAATATTTTTCGTTGTTGAAAAAAGTCAAATTGAAACGATGGGTAGATAAGTCTCATTGAAACGACAAAAACAACAAGTTTTTAGAACGTCGCCCACAAACAGATACATGTAACGATGTAATTTTGTGTTTTACTCAGAAAAAATACTAAATAAACTTTTTAAATGTGGGAGGAATAAAAAGATATGTCCTAAGCGAGTTTTGCATGTGTTGACAAATTGTACAGGCAGTATATTCTGTGACATTAACAAGGACTTGGTATCGTATGAGGACAATCTGTGAAGAAACGGCTTAACTATAAAAAAAATCTGAACAAAAACAAAAAGTTGGAACGTCAAGGAAAGGCATATGCGCTTCAGAGTTGCTTATCCGAAGAAAGCAGAGTTAAATTATAAAAGAAATTAAAATCGTAACAAACTTAAGAAAATTATACATCGAGAACAATTGTTAGAAATGAATGTCAAGTATGGGAAAAACATTTTTAATTAGGGAGCATTTGATAATACTGAGTGAAATGTATAGGGATATTTTCTTTTTAGAAATTCTTGGTTATGCGTTTTGACGTTACTTTGTTTTTAAGTGAGTACAAAACATGTTGATTTTAAAATGAAGTAAATTGATTTCTGTTTAATCAAATGTAATGAAACTTCACACATCAAGAAAACAAATATTTTTAAGTATTATATTACATGCTTATCCTAAATTTCTAGTAAGTAATATAACGAAGAGTAACATCGCGTCCACGAATTACTCCTCATACTGTGGGATTTGGGAAGAAGCAGTCACTCCCTGTATAAACGTCAAAAGTTTATTGCGGCAAGGCAAAAATGAATCAAAACCAGCCCTCTTGATAAAACTTCCTACCCCTATAGGCTACCTTGACCGGTCTATACATATTTGATTTTCATTTATATGATGCATTTAAGATACAACATTATCAGATATATTGCCTCTTTTCAGAGATCACATTACTTTGGATTATTTTATCGAGAAATAGAAATGTTCAAAACAAATTCAACACCAAAATAAATTTCCATGTATAATAACATCTGTTTAACCACTTTTTAAAACGATGCTAGCAAAATCAAATTGGTGACCAGGATGTTAGAGTTTCCGCTGAGGCACACTTGATAAACTCTCCAGTTTAATGTTCGCAATCAAAAACTTTACATTCAAATGTGTAAAACTGGAACTTAAAGCATATTTATTCTTAGAAAATGACAAAGTCGACGTTTGTTGAATGTAAGTACATGTATATTTTTTTCTATTCCGATCAGTGAATAAAAAATTGCATTTGACTAAACTTCAATATACTATAGTAGGTAGTAAATGAATCATTTCAGCCAAATCTTGGTACAAAAATATCAAACCCTTTGTGAAAATATCTCATTTATTTTTGAGAAAGTCATTTTGATGTCCATCTTTAGAGTAATATTTGTGTGTACATGAATATATTTGCTTTGCATGCTAGAAATAAAAGGAACCAAGGGATATTCTGAATAACTTATTACCACATGCAGTTATTTACATGTAGAGTGTCCGAATTTTATTTAAATACTAATCTGGGGAACTATTCATGATCTACTGCACATTTATTCAGCTATCACACCAACAAAAAATCTAGTGATATTTGAAATATAATTCTCATTGTTATTTTTCTCTTTTACTTCATGTAAAATTTCCTTAAAAATAAAGGCCGATTTTGCCCTTTCGTGGCTTTAGATCTTTGACAGTTTTACATGTAACAGAATAGATTATAACAGATCAAGAAGATTTTTGAACACCCCACTTCATTTTGAGAAGGAAAGTCGGGAGTTTTGTCGCACTTTTGATATTTGTCACACCGTGAAAGAACTTTTGATTTTCTTTTGAACTGTGATAGTATAAATTTTTTTTTTCAATAAATAAATTACAGTATTTCGCAGTTGAAAATGTACGTTTAATTACATTCTTTGTATTTTTGTTTTCTTTTCATACCTAACTTCAAATTGTAAGCTATATATGATGAAAATCATAATAATTTGCCGGAATATCAAAGATATATAAAATTGAATTTGTCAAATTTCCACATGGCTATCTTTTAAAGCTACATTTTATACAAATCAACAACATAATTTATCGGTATACGCCATTTAGTTCCAGTACTAGTGTGAATTTACAGTAATATCTAAATATGTATCTCTTGGCAGTATTGGTCGTTTTTATGACAATGTTTCATGGCTGTTCGACATACAGTATTGACAGGTAAGTATACAATACACAAAATATCTAAAGTTACTTGATTAAAAATACAATCAAACTGATGGATTGGAAGTACTTGAATATGGCTAAATAAAATTTAGATTTCACTTTAAAAAAAAAATCTACTGTATCGCTACCATGCACTACAGGAATAGCATAATCATAAAATTAATTATTTTGTTTTAGAAATAATGAAAGAAACAAAAGAGAGTAAGATTTAATGAAAGTGAATATTTTGAATTACATGTCAACGAATTGCATATTAAGAATATTGCTCTCTATTATTACTGTGAAATCACAAATTTTCGTGGGGGTTTAATTTTCGTTGTTTTCGTGGTATGACAAGACCCACGAATTCATGTCAACAACGAAATGTAAAATTTCACACACACAAGTACTCATTAATTCTTGATCCACGAAATCAAATCCCCACGAACCAAGAAATTTTCCTCAAACCACGAAAATTTGACCCCACGAAAATATGTGATTTTACAGTAACTTAAAAGGCAGTGGACATTGTCTAAAGAAAAGAAAACCTACATGATAAACATCAATACAATGCACAGCATGCAAGGGGTAAACTTGGAAATATTTTATCTTTTTGGAAGCATTTAGAGAAATAGAGAAATTCAATTTAATCAAATCAAAGTCTTGATGAAAAGTCACATGAACGGAAAAGTACCATATCCTCTTTAATAGTTGAGAAATCATTCAAGTCAACAAATACACATGACAACATAATATAAAAATATCCTTTATTATTAAAGTTAAAGTATGTTTATTCTAATCAAAATTTAAAATTTCCAAAAATCCTTGGGATCTTTATGAGTTTTTCAAGATTACAAAGCTACACAATTTGAATAAATATTCTCAAAAAGAGACGCTAAACAAATAGAAATACAAACAATTATAAATAAAATAACAAATAATATTCCATCACAAACAATCTATTATAAACCTGGACCCCTGGCAATTTCAGTGGGGACCTACCGACCCAGCAGGCACAAGATATTGAAAAAAAAAAATTTGAATCAATGTTGATCATACATGTATGTGCTGATTCAACATTTAGTTTATTTGAGATTTTGTAAATTGATTTCAAGTTTGATATATCTTAACGTTGATTTAATGTTGAAAATTCATGTTGATTAGACATAGAATAAAAGCAACTTCAACGTTTTTAACAATTTATTTGGGGTTGGAGTTATTACTTGATATTTAACATTTAAATCTCTTTATTACAGGTAACTAAGATGCCTTCATAACTGTAAAAAGGAAAATGTTTCATTATAAATAGAATCTATATTGTAAACATTTAATAAACTTCCCATCAATAGGCTAGATCGATAAATTTCACCAAAATACATTTTATTAATATGTCATTTTACAGAACCCGGGCGTTTTACAAACCTTAAAGTTTGTTTAATAACATGTGGTCAACAAATAGCCTAGAACATAAAAACATTCAAATATAAGACGTAAATCTTACAAGGTACCACGTTTGATGCACCAGATGCGCATTTCGACAAACTATGTCTCTTCAGTGATGCACATTCCAAATTCCTGGAAATCCAATTTAATTAATTCCTGTATTAGAGTCCTAAAGGTGGTGTAGATCTGCTGATTAGTGCTCTCTAATAGATAATGTTGGTCATCTGAGTGGACAGAGTGGGCCGGTTTTAGTTGATTAAATGCATCCCTAAAGTACAATATGATGTAATAAATATTTGAATAATAAAATATGTAAAAAGTGTGTTCAATCTCATAATCTTTTATTCCAAAAACACTTGGAATTAGAATTGACAAACACTTAAATATTCAACATCCTGTGCCTTTTTCTTCAAATTAAGAGTGATCAATCTAAATATAAATATATTATAAACGAAGTATTACATGAATACACACATGTATATGCAAAATTTAGGCAACATCTTGGCATTGCAAATGACATTTTCCTTAAACCACACCAATTTAGTAAAATGAACTTTTCGGTTCAGGGTAGATTGTTATCTAGTCATCATGCTTACATGCACAGCAATGTTTCAAAGTCCACTTATGCTTAAAAGCTAAGCATATTTAAATGTCATATCCAAGTGTAATGCAAAATTAAATTTTATGAAAATGTTGACCCTTTGAAATGAGGCTGTGCTATATAAATGAAAATTGTTTACGTGGTAACATACAGAAATAAAAGACATTTAAGAAAAATCTTAAACAAGAGGGCGATTGGTAGTTAAAATATTATTATAGAGATATACTCCTAATATATTGATTTAGGTATTGTCAAGTCAGTCATGTATCAAATGGAAAAAGAATTGACTGAAACACATCCAACATAAGGTATTTCTCGGCAAGTTTTGTGAAATCTCGAGAAAAAATGGCCATCAGTTATCCTTTACTTTTCAGTACAGTTTGTCTGAACAGACCTTTAATGTTAGCAATGGGTAAAAAGGCCTGTGGATGTACATTAGAGTATGCAAGAAAGCGTCTTGAATCAGGTTATCCGAAATACTGTATACAGGTTATTTTCGCCCTTTCATACTTGATAATAATTTTGTTCCGTTTTAAATTCGCCCAGTCAAAGTTTTGTTTGAAAATTATACTGCATTCTTTTAAATTCGCCCAAAGGATGATAGGACAAAAAGGGGCGAAAATAAAATGGGGGCAAAAATGTTCCTGTATACAGTGTTTAAAAGCAGTTACTCCAATTTAAGAAAAAAATATATTAATTACATTTGATATTCCTTCAATGTTTCGACTTTTTCCTACTCATTTAATCAGCTTAATCTTTTTTATCGTATTCTCTATCGACTTAAATTCATCATAATGATTTAATGATATACTAATTTTCATGAGCTTTAGTATAATATACAATAAAGAGATATATCTTGAAAAATAAAAGCTGGTCAACACCTTGTTGCAAAACTGTTAATCGCACTAAGTAATATTCTAATGAAAGTCATTTTACTTTCATTGCTCATGTTATTTTTATTATTTAGATGAAGGAAATTGTGTTCAGAAATGTCATGTAAAAATGAATTACCTCTACGAACAATATAACTATCACCTGATATACACAAATCTTACTTTCAATGGATTAAGTGTACATATGGCTACATCATGCAACTATAATTATGGATCATATGGGAGAAGATTAGAAATTGTATGCAATTCGGATGGAGAAAGTTGTGAGTTTTTTTAATGTAACTATCATAATGGTTTTAGGCGATTCGTGTACTTAATTTTCATTTTTAAAAACTATATAACAATATCTTTCAAATTGATACACTTTGTTGGGCACAGATTTTCATGATTTTTTTAAAAAGAAATCATCTTTCATTATTTACACACTGAATTGTCAAAGGATTTTTCCGTTATTTCCCAAGCATGACAAGGAACACACGGCATGTGTGACCGGTCGGCCGGGGGGGGGGGGGTGCTCATCACTCCTCCATGGGAGTTGATCCCACTTCTGATGTTTTAGAAGTCCGTGTTTGCTCTGCTCCTATTTTGTTTCGTTTAATGGTTTTTTTTAGCTTGATTACTGTTCATTATCTCCATATATTTCATTTTAAGTCAAGCATGTACAGATAAGGATATGGAAATAACGAACAGTATTCAATCTCAACGTCCATTAAACAAATATACAAAACAAGAGCAGAGCAAACACGGACCTCCGAAACATCAGAGGTGGGATCAGGTGCCATCGAATTATGTAAGATGTAATCGAGAAGTGAGCATTTTCTCAATGACACCTTTATAATTTCAAGCATGTACAAAATTATGTTAGATGTAATCGGGAAGTGAGCGTTTTCACAAGGACACCTTTAAGTTAGAAATTAAATGTTAATGTTAGATTTAAACTTTCGGAAATTTTATTTACTTCAAGTCAAACGCATAGTTTAAATCATCTTAATGTAAGATAAATGAATTGATTTTTTTAAAAATTCTTTAACCTTAACCGTCTAGGCCTATCAAATTTTGAATGGAATCCTCATTTTTTTTTATTTTTGACCGCATGAGTACACTTTACTAATGTTTGATATTTTAACATTTTGAAGGGAGGTAATTTGTGGATATTGTCTTTTATAGAATAATTCTTTGATATTTTAGTGTTGTTAAAGACTGCAAATTCATATGTGCTTGATTTTTACCCTCAGTGGCAATTTGTACTTGGTTTACCGATTACTTGGTCGGAACGATGGCAATCGGTTAGTAAATTTGTAATCGGTTTCACAGAAAAATCAACATATAATATTTAAATTTGAAGCTAATTTTGCTCAAATTTATTTTTTTTGAAAAAAAAAGAGACTAATAATTACATTGACTGTCTTTTATTTCTTAAACGATAATTAAATCGCCATTGAGAACTGCGAGTTCGTATGTTTTGTTTTTTTTCGGTTATTTATCGAATAAATTACCAATAAGACAAACTTTGTAAATAACGTCATATATTTTAGTCCTAGTTAATATTTACAGTAAAAGAAACGTAATTCTCTTCATACTTTAAATAAATACTAATTGGAATTCTTTACAATTGGTTAGTTATGAGAAAAATCAACCCAAAGTAAAGCCAAGATGTGCAAGATGTTTATCTAAAGTTAACAGTTTCGAATTCCACTCTATGTTTAACAATCAATAATATTTAAATAAATGAATTTATTCCTTATGCATTAGGTTTTGCAACAGTGTTATTTTTTTTTATTCAAACGTAATATTTAGAAAACAATCTTTTGAGACAAAATGTACACAAATCTTCTCCGAGAGGATTTGTTTACATTATGGAAGCAGTGTAATGATGCATCTAAGACATGTTCACAATCGTGGACAGACAAATTGGTGTTGTGTATGTAAACCTGGATATATAGAATTCGGAACTGATTGTATAAAGGGTAATTGCTTACAGACACGCTTATATTATCAGACACGCTTATACTGTCTCTTTACTACTTAAATTAGTTACGAAAAAAAATCATTTAAAAATAGGATTTATTTTATTCAATATTTTTACTACTTTACTCCCTTTCTTTTCTTGATATATTTTCAATATTCCAAAAATCAAAATGAATTTTGAATTACCCTACCTATACTAGATTCCTAACGTTAAACAAAAATTAAACTTATAATACTAGATTATCGACTTTCTTGTTTATTTAGTCATTATTTCACAAGTTTTATGATCGATCTATATAGACACAATGACCTTGTTATCAAGAACTATACTATAAAAAGAGTGTGATAAAACATTTTATTGAAGTATATGGAGATAACGAATACTGTTTAAGCTCATAAATTAATTAGTCAATGCAAATTTTGGAGCAGAGCCAAAGCAGACCTCCTAAACATCAAAGGTTGGATAAGACGCTACGGAGAAGCGAGCATCTCCCGTCAACTACTGTCTGCCCCTATCATGATCGGAAAACATTGAAAAAAAACCTGCCGTCAAGATTTAGCGTGCAAACAATGGCCAAACAATAAGCATGAAAAACTTCAGACAGGACATGACTTTATGATATATTATGTTTGTTGACAGGGCCACTTTACTGCCAATATTCCTGTTTCATCAACTTTTTTGTCAATAACCTCATTTTGGAAATTGTTTATACAAGGAACAAGCCTTGCGAATGATTAAGACTGGCTTTTTCACACGAGACATTTCTTTCTCTTTCTTGGGTTAGATCTCTCAAAAGATTTGCGTACATCAATGAAGGAATGTAATGATGTGTTTAAGACGTGTTTGCGATCTTATGGAGAACAAATTGGCATGTGTGCATGTAAACCTGGATATATAGGATTCGAGACCGAATGTTTACAAGGTAAATGCTTATCAGAATTATATATTGTTATAATTACCAGTGTATTGAATTTTTACTCAAAGTTTTAGTTAAGCTATAACATGTAAAATATAAATCAATTTTTATCAATATTTTCACGACACTATCAACCGATGTATGAGGAGCAGGATTTTTATATATTTGAAAGTAAAAAGCACTTAGTCGGATGACGTCACGAATTAAATGACACGCATTTTTTCTAAACTTAAGGCACACTAACTAGTAGTTCAAGTTATAATTGCAGCTTCAGTTGAAAATTAAATCAAGCCTAATCTGACTAAAGTAACATATTCTATGAAGTATACGATATTTTGAAGTCTGGTCGAATTTCAAATGTAGAGACCTCATATAAAGCCATCGTAAGACACGCCTATAAGGTCACGAACTATAATGACTGGCAAAGCTCCCCGAAAACCTCAAATATTCAAACAGTTCACGGTAGGCTAGTAGTAGAGCGTTGGCTTTGTGCTCGGCAGGCCCGGGTTCGATTCTCGTTTGCGGCTCCGCATTAAACCTAGACGTAAACATACGTTGTGACTGTTTCTTCGCCCAACGACCGGCATTAGAAGTGAAAGTCGCAGGTCTTTCGAATATGACCTTCAAAAATGGCCCTGAGTATAAGTCTAAATTTGAATCCCTTCACTGGCAAACTGTGACGTCTCCATATAAGTAAAAACTTCTCGAGTGGGACGTTGAACAATATACAATCAATCAAGCAATCAAAATTCAAAATATCTCATTCTTTACAAATAAAGATTTAAACACATGCTGATTTTATACTTACTATTTTGAAGAAAAAATGTGAGGATAAAGTTGTGTGCTTTTGGTTATTCTGTAATATAATGAAATTATTTCAATACGAATTAAGTCAATGCAGACGTTATTTCAAGAAGGACATATAGGACTAAATTTTACGTTTTTCCGGCTCCCAACACGTACATGTATCACGTTCAGAAATATTTTGTCTGAAAGAAAACACATTTAATTTCATAGTTCAAGGATATCTGCAAATACCGTACACCGTTTCATAATTTTCTAATGTTAAACATGTCAAGTGACAAACAACTGATCATGATGTCAGCGAAATTGTTTTAATTTACCTCAACAGAGAACAGATATATTACCAGGGAAAATGCAATAAGTAGATTTCAATTTCAACATTAAACTCATGCTGATGTTTAAAAATATACTCGAATATCAATATTAAAAGATATTCTTGGAATAACTTAAAGTATATTCGACATTGAAGCTTTTAATGAAGCATCAATGCTCAATAATTTAATAATAAACCCTGTATTAAAGACTAATTTGTTAATTATATGGATTTTGTCAATATGTTAATGGAATTTTATCTCTTATAGTCTTTTTTTTAAATTCACGTCAAACAATTTCCTTTTTTAGTACACCTCAAAAAACATTTGTGTACGTCGACTGAGGGGTGTCAAGATGTATCTAAGTCATGTTCGTTGACAGGACAAGTCGGTGTTTGTGTATGCAAACATGGTTATATAGGTTTTGGAAACAAATGTTTGAAAGGTATACGATTGCAAGTTTATTGATAGTCATGTACTTTGAATATTGAAATAAAAGAAACGATTGTGTGTTTTTTTTACATTACTTAAACTGTGTTCGAAATCATTTACTTAATACGCAAAAATATTTATAGATCATAAAAAAGTTTATAAAGGATTTTTTTTCTTTATTTCAGGCAGTTTGAGATTGAATGAAACTTGCCAACGACATGAGCAGTGTTCTGAGCCGTCTGGATCTGTTTGTCAAAACGATACTTGTGTTTGTAAGTGTTTTTGCCCAGTTGAAAGAATCAAATACTCCTTTTGTAGATTCATATTCAGGCAATTACCTTTGTAATTTTGTTTTAAAAGATCTCCTTGGCGAAAGGAAACTAAAGTATAAATGTAACGAAAGTGGGTTATACCCGAAATAAAGTAAATTTTCTAGACTCATTTAATCAATGCTTAAAGATTTTATTTTTCAGTATCCTTTGATGACAAACCGCAGTCGTCCATCCGCGATCCTAAAGGTATCCAACTTTATAGTATTATTTATTCCAACATTTTTTTTTATTATGAAAAATGGCAATAAAACAACATCTCCCATAGATATAAAACTTTCTATGATAAACTCGTTTCACATTTTATAAATTATTATGTGTCATTTATTTCACTTTTTAAAGAATATTTTAAAACACATCTGATAGTTAACTTTTTGATATAAATTTCAGTAAATAACCTTGACGGCATGACATTTGGAATTCTTTTTGGTGGACTCGTTCGAATTCTATGCATAATCCTAACTGCAGTAGCAGTAACCATCTATCATAATGCACGCCAGAAGAAAACAAACACTGAGGAAGAGTATGAAACAATTTTGTTCTTTTTGAGTTAGTCGTTCACCTCTGGAACGATATTTTATTACAGGTTTGATAAATGATAACTTTATACATGCATGTTTACTGTAGATTCCCATATATACTCGTGGAATTAATTGTCTTGTAATTTCGCGAGAATCATTATTGGAGAAATTAAATTTCTCGACTTTAATTATTCATAGAGTTGATATTTATGTAAAATCTCTTGACCAGCTATCCGCTTGCATATTATTATTCTCACGATTTAATGATGAGGAGCCATTCGCAGTAATTAGTACCTGCGAGAAATATATAGAATCTACGGTCAGTAATACAATATATGCAAAGAAGGAGTATATGGACATTTATATCTCTATTCAATAAATTTAATCAATATCTATTAACTATATTTTACACTTAAAATTGATATAGAGAAAGTCCAGCAATGACATTGTTTAACAACACAATTTACGAGGCAAACACATGTACAGATGTTGTTTATAATTATCCGCCAACACATTTGACCAGTGAGATTACGGAGGTAAAAATAGTACATGTTTCTTTTATTTCAAAACCATATTTGTTTATTTAAGATTTAACATAGCTTTTATACCGTAGCAAAGTAATTTTGAGAAAACCTGAATGTAAATCGCTTTTGTTTTTCTAAGGATTGTCGTATCTTCAAGGAGGAAAAAATGTTCACGGTACAATTTAAACTTCTCTAGAGTTTTCCAACGGCTGTAATTTACTTGAGATACTAAAAAAAGATTATGCATATATATACCATCACACACATACCTTAATAATAAAAAGACTGATATGTTTGTTCACCTATGACCATTAACTAGTGTATTTCATTAATCAAAAATTTTCAAATGCCAATGGGGTCCTTTTGATGAGACCTTAAAAGACCGAGGCCCCATGTCACGGTAGACGTTGGCACGATTTATATTCTTAACTGCCCAATAGCCGTAAGCGCAGAGTAGAGATGAAAATTTGAAGTCTATCATCTGTAGGGTGAGTTAACTATTCATCGGACACATACCTTGCTTCGGACAACTTTATGCAATAAACTCTCTTTCAACTTATGAGTTCCATGTATTTATTTGTTTCTGTATTGAAGCTGAAGATTTAATTTTTTTTGATAATGCCGATTGTTATTATCATGCTGTGATAAAAATACTCCGAGAATGGCCTTGAAGTTACCTCATATTTTACATCATCAAAGAGGGGTAACCAGAAATTTATGATTTTGCAATTTTTAGAGCTATCGTTCTTTAAATTCGACTTCGATGAATGAGTCGGACTTTGGTGAATTTTGTCAATGATTGGTAATTTTGCATAAATTATAAAGAAATTTCATTTTAATGTTTGTTTAATTCTAATTAGAGCTGGTTTTTACCAGTATGCTCATTTCACCGTACATTGGACCCAAATTAACTATGCATCGGACACTTTCCGATGCATAGGTAATGACTACCATTTTCATACAGAACCCAACTGACAGGTGTTTTTTGCGGAAATAGAGAACAAAAACTCTAAATTTTCAGTTAAAATACACATTAGTGATGCATAACGTCTAGAATTTGATTTAATTCATTTCTGCAAACCAGAGTATTTTAACTTTTGAGGAAATAGCGCGAATTACCGCATTTCAAGCATTTTAAAGCCTTTCTAAGGCAAAGTAAGGCATATTGCATCTTTCCATATTTGTACAATGATATCGTCAATTTAATGTATGTTAAGGTTTAATTTTTAAATAAAAAATACAAGTATAGTCATATCATTAATTATAAAGCCCTGTGATCAAGGCACGACATTTTTCCGGTTCAAATAAGATTTGTACGATGCATGGTAAATGATGTCCGATCCATGGTGAATTCCGAGTCATTTTTTAAAAGTAGGTTTTTAATGATATTTTCTCAATTAAAAGCAAATATAGGTGTCCCAAATTTATATTTTATTCACAGACTAAATATTAATTTCCATTTTGATAATGTTCCGGCGGTATCGATATCGCTATGACTTGTTGAATTACAACGGCGTCCGATGCATGGTGAATTCACCCTATATGGTGACGTCTCTTAAGGACCCTCTCTACTCAAGTGCAAAAATTTTTTTGGACATTGAGAAAAAAATATTGTATAAAGAAGTTAATATTGTGCTTATTTATTCAATTTTCACTATATGGTGCGTGGCATTTACCCCCGGGAAAAATGTTCAAAGACAACACAGTATCAGTGAGTAGAAATCACTGTTAATTACTTCAATAGAGAAAATACATGTGAATAACACGTTCAGTTAATTTATCGTGGCCTTTTAAAATCTTAAGAATACTTGAATTAATCACAAATTGAGTAATATATAATAAATTTCTATTTTTTAGAATTAATAGGTAAGAGCAGATCACTCTAACTGCAGAAAAATACCTCAAAATCAGAACTCTTTAGTGTGCAGTGTAGAGAGGGTTCTTAACGAGAGAAATATTCTCGAATTGGACTTAAAACAACAACTAATCAATCAATCAATTGTCAATTAGTACATTACTTTTTAATAATTGTTACGTAGTGGAAAACATTGCAATATTCCTACACTAAGAGGAGGCTGATGGCGGTGTGAGAGGACTATACCTCCTCCCCATAAATCCCATCAATTTTATTTGTCGGGGTATATCTTATAAATGTGTATTCTTGACAGGATTAAATTCCTTCATCACCGTTTTTTTATCTTCACCACTTTACTACATTGTAAATCGTTGTCCCTTGTTTAATGTGAGCTTTGTGTGTGAGGGTGTGTGTGTGTGTGGGGGGGGGGGGGGGGGGTGGGTGAGGGTGTGTGTGTGTGTGTGTGTGTGTGAGGGTGAGGGGGTGTGTATGTGTGTGTGTCATATGTGACTGCGGGGTCATCAGTGTTATAAATACATACTATTTAAAGTGAACAAATATATAGAATATAAATTATATTCTTTAATCTTATCGTTTTAAAATGTTAAAAGGATAAGTGTACAACAGCAATAAAAATATTTTTGATTTTGTCCATTAGAATTATATCTTTAAAGCAATATGAGCTGCATTTGTGTTTATTTTACTTTGCAGGTAAAATATGCTGTTAGGATTAATTTGTATGTAATTTAAACCCTTATGACCAATAAGCCCCAAATAAAGTTGAAAAAAATGTTTCAAAAGAAACATTTTTTCAACACCAAATAAAACATCAATTATTAGAATAATAATTGTATTTATGTATTTAATGCGATAATTTGTTTGGAGGTTTTCGGAACATTTACGTTGGTAAATTGTGAAAATTCTCAGATCCACGCCTTGCCTAATTGTAATGGTATGTGTAAGGTCACGTGGTCAGCTCAGCGAGTCATTCGCACTCGCGCGCTCACCACCGCTAACATGAAGCACGTCTATTTTGAAGAAATCACAATTTTTTGTGATCTTTAATGCTTTCTTATTCATCATTTGTTGATTATTGTAAATTTGCAAGATTTGTGCTGTTTGAAATTTTTTGTTTACTTATACAATTGGTGATAGACGTGTGTGTTATTCACATGTGCAGATTTTGCAATGCCCATGTGGAGTCATGTGGAGTATAATTTTCTGATGATTGGTCTTTATTAACTTTGTGTTGTGTTTTGAACTGGACTTTATTAACTTTGTGTTGTGTTTTGAACTGGCATTCGTTCGTTAATTAAAGGACAGAGATTTCCATATACCCACATAATGCGCGTGATTTCTGATTTTTGTTGTTTGTTAAACTAAACGACTAAAACTGAACACATTTATATCAATGGAGACACGGATTTGTTTGGCGAGAAGTTGTGATAATATTCATCAAAGGCAGTATCTGCAGGATGGCGTTGATGGAAAACAAATACGCAGCTGGAGATCATGACGGTCTTTGTCAGGGTTCACTTTTGGAGCCACAGAGGTTTCAGCGGAAGTTCCTTTGAAGTATAAGGAATGCAGTTATTCAATCGCCAAGCATATTAAGGCCAGTATAACTTTTTGTCTCATTCTACATGAAATGCACACTGGGGAGCTTATGTTTGTGGTAGGCTACCAAGTTTTAAGGTCATATGAGAGAATTAATTGCTCTGTCAGTCAGTGCTGTTCGTTAAAGGCTATTTGATGTCTTGATGGTTGTTTGCTGTTAGGCAATAAAATCAATGTTCGAAATATTTAGAATCATGCATGCATGTTTGGTGAACTTGTTACTGACGAGACATATTCAGGACCAGGTGGCTCATAATGACAATGGTTTCGTCTTATGAAGCAGTTATTTATCTGGGCATTGTTTCGCATTATCTCGTTTCTTTATTGTTAATTCTTTCGTACAATATAGGTAGGAAACTAGAAGTCAAAGTATATATTCTGTCTGATTATTATTAATTACAATCGGTATGACGTTTATAGATCTTATGTACTTATCGTTTGAAAGTATAGGTACACAGTCAACATATGAACCTACCCACGTGTTAAGCAATAGTACAAAGTAGGCCGCATATAAGTACTCATTGTATGGGAGTCTAGGTGCAAAGTTTATCTGTGCTTACCCATGTTTAACAATGGTACGGAGTAGGCCCCGTATAAGTACTCATTGTATGGGAGTCTAGGTGCAAAGTTTATCTGTGCTTACCCATGTTTAACAATGGTACGGAGTAGGCCCCGTATAAGTACTCATTGTATGGGAGTCTAGGTGCAAAGTTTATCTGTGCTTACCCATGTTTAACAATGGTACGGAGTAGGCCCCATATAAGTACTCATTGTATGGGAGTCTAAGTGCAAAGTTTATATGTGCCTACCCATGTTTAACAATGGTACGGAGTAGGCCGCATATAAGTACTCAGTGTATGGGAGTCTAGGTGCAAAGTTTATCTGTGCCTACCCATGTTTAACAATGGTACAGAGTTAAGGCCGCATATATGTACTCATTGTATGGGAGTCTAGGTGCAAAGTTTATCTGTGCTTACCCATGTTTAACAATGGTACTGAGTTAAGGCCGCATATATGTACTCATTGTATGGGAGTTTTAGGTACAAAGTTTATCTGTGCCTACCCATGTTTAACACTGGTACGGAGTAGGCCGCATATATGTACTTATTGTGTGGGAGTTTAGGTTCAAAGTTGTTATGTACCTATCTATCCAAGTATTTGATAATAGCACAGAATTGTAGTCTTCCTTCATGTTTTTTTTTTTTTACCAGTGGCACTTGATTAAATGGTTTTGTCTATCAAGTTTCTAAACTGTGCTTATGTTTATGGTTTGTACCTAGGGATAAACATTGGATTTATATCTTCTTTATTGTTTTATTGCTAATGATTGTTTGAGGAAGTTCAATTGCGATTGCACTGTGTGCTTCACTTAAGTAATTGTTGATACGTTACCCAGTATTCAGTTGAATTAAATTTTTCATTAATTTGCACATCGTAAGGCAACAAGATATATAAAGTGATTGTTGGGTAACAGGTAAACGATATAATCAAGATTCTATCATTTTGGTATGTTTTACACGATTTTAGTATTGTTTTCAGT